CCGCGCCCGGCCCGCGCTCCGCGCCCCCTCCCCGACGCCTCCCTAACGCAGTGTGGCGTGGCGTGGCGTGTGTCGGGGGCGCCTGCGGCCGCGCAAGGACTCAGGTGGCGCTTTGGGCTTTGCTTGGCAGCTGTATGTTTGGGGGGAAAGGGAAGCTATTTATTGGGATTTGGGCTTTGGTTTTGGTGTTTGTCCTCTTGAGAAGGAAAATATTAGACTTAGTCTTCATTGCTCTTGGGGGTGGGAGCCTTGCTCTGATAAAAGATACACTGACCATAGGGTCTAGTCGGAGAGATTAAAGCTAAATTTGTTAACTTCTTCGGAAGTGAGAGTGAACTAAGGAGGTCAAAGTTTCCTTTAGAAGGGAAACCTCTTTCCTCCCCCCAACACAATCCCCTCACTACCCCCCAGGCCAGTGACATGAAGAAACAGCACATTTTGCCCTTCCACAAAGATTATTTGAGCACCTGCCAGACTGCTGGGCAGGAGACACAAGTTGTTTTTGTTTTTGTTTTGTTTTGTCATTTTCCCACTGTGTGACCTTGGGCAAGTTACTTAACCTCTCTCAGTTGGAAATAATTCCCAGCCGGGGCAACCATAGGAGGAAGAATGGGGAATCAGAACTAAAAGTGCTCTGTGAATCCTCAGGAGGTGTCAATGAGTCATTTCTATTATAACTTGATGGATTAAAAAACGTGGGCAGAGGCATGGTCAGCCTGGCTGCAGGTAGTGAATGATCAGGGGAAACGCTGAAGGACTCTGGCTAACTCCTAACAGGCCAGCCCTGAAAGCAGGGTATAGGCTTTTGGTAGGCTCAGCATTTAGCTGTGAAGCCTCCCCTCTGGAGGGAAGGTTCAGGCTGCTGGGAACCAGAGCCTACTTTTCTGGCCCCTGGAGGGAGGAGGGATGAATCTGGAAAGGGGAGAGGAGGAAAGAAAAGGCTTCATCCTTGTGAGCTTTGAGAAGCCACTGCAGCAGCAGGATCTGCTTCGCTCTTGCCCCACTGTAAGGAGGAGATTGGATTTAGGGGTGAGCTTGGCCTCTTGGGAGAGCCAGCAGGGGCTGTGGACTCTCTCTACAAAGAGGGGGATTTTTAACTGGCTTCCTTCCTCCTCCTCCTGCTGGGTTCCTTTTATAGTCTAGAACAGGAAGGCAGGTCAGCCACTTGGTCTCTGAGGCACAAGCTTTCTCAGAGCCAAATGGGACAATCCACCTGTCCTCTAGGTATGTGAAGGCTGCTGGGCTGGGACATCCATCGCCGCACTAATCCCGACGGGTAGCTGCACAAGGTTCTCTTCTGAAGCAGACCAGGCAAAAGATTAGAGGCTAGGCTAGAAGGTGTGGGGTTGACCACCACTGGGCCTGTGAGCCTGGCAAACCCTCCCTCACTGGAAAGGGTAATGGGTCCAGGTACCCATCTGAGCACTCACTCCACAAAATAAGTTGTCCACCCTTAATGCTGTTGGGCTGCTCAGGGTACAGGCCTAAATCACAGCTAAATGGTTTATCCTGGGTTCTAGGTAGTTGGTGGCAAAAGCCCAACAGAGATTAGGCCTGGTTTCAGTGATCCTAAAATGCCACCCCACCCTACCCCTTCACTCTGGACCTGATCTCATTGCATTCTCCCTGTTTCTGGTTCTGCTGCTCCAAACAGTTGTGAGAGCAGGGACTGTATCCTATCCATCTTCATATCCCCAATGCCCTGATGGTACCTGCTCACTATAGATCAATTAAGTGAAGAATTTACTGCTGCTCATTTTTCTTTTAAGATTTTATTTTTAAGGAATCTCCACACCCAACAGGGGGCTCGAACTCATGACCCCGAGATCAAGTCCCACGCTCCACGGACTGAGCCAGCCAGGTGCCCCAAGTGTCTGGTTTTTTTGGTTTGTCTCTTTCTCTCCCTTTTGTTTTTTTTCCTTCGCTCATTTGTTTTGTCTCTTAATTCCAATATGAGTGAAATCACACAGTATTTGTGTTTCTCTGACTGGCTTATATTTTACTTAGCATTATGCTCTTTAGATCCATCCATGTTGCTGCAAATGGCAAAATTTTATTCTTTTTTTATGGTTGAATAATATTCATGTGTGTGTGTCTGTGTATCTTTATCCATTCATCTATCGATGGACACTTGGGCTGTTAAGCTAAATCTTTAAGGGTAAGAAGGAGTGCTCTTGGTTGAATGAAGAAATGAATGAAGCAGTGTGACTTTGGATTAGTTAGCTCACCTCTCCAGGCCTGTTTCTTCATCTGAGAAAGCTAGAGATTGGTTTGAATTCCTTCTAAGCACCCATGATCTTATCAGGGCTCATCATAGCAGAGACAGGAAAAGGTAAAAACCTTTGGTGACAGGGGAAGTGAGGTGGAGGGAAGAAGGGAGTGTGTTGGGCAGCTGGTCAGTCTCAAATGGTGAAATCTCTCTAAATGGCGCCCACAGGCCCAGTAGGAGAGGGCCGCAAAAGCAGGACCGAGTTGCCCTTGCCTATTTCCTCCTTGGAAACTGTCAGGGAGAGCCTGTCTCCCACTCCCAGGACTCTTGCTCTGGAGAAAAACTTTGTCGTTTCTGTCCCAACCTTGCCTGAAAAGAGTAGGAGGAGGTGGTATTAGTGGCCGGCAAAGAGATTGAATCAAAATAAAACCCAGATGACTCAAACAGAAGCAGGCGGGCAGGAAAATTGATTAGACACATGTGACAATGCAGGATCTGGGTGCCACCTTAGCCCCCCGGTTCTAAACCTTAGAAAATTAGGGTTTGCTGTGGAACTGTCCTGGGCCTCCACCTGCAGCTGCTGGTCTTCCATCACATCAGAGGTTTGGGCGGTGATGGAAAGACTCCTTCCTTCAGCAAATTCCAAGTTCCTGTGGAGGTCATACACATCCTCTAATCAAATGATCAAGGCTTGGGTGGAAGTAGTTTTTGTTTCGTTTTAAATAACTAGTTGTGCTTCATATTGTCCATGACCATGTTCATTTCTGCTGTTTCCCAGATTTCTTCTTCAGGATTTTTAAAAACGATTACATTGATTTTTGAATACTACTGTTTCTTATTATTCATTAGCCTGTGTGCTCCATCGGAAGGAGAGTTTATTTGCTTCATTCACTGCTGTATCCCCAGCGCCTTGAACGGTGCCTGGCACGTCAGTTAATAGTTGTTGATCAATTAATGTAATGAGTGCCTGATGAAGCACTGTGCTGAGAACTTTGTATGGGTTCTCTTCCACTGGGATCTCTATCTTACACACGATGAACCTGAGGATCAGGAACGGGGGAAGACTTTGCCCAAGGTCAGACTCAAAAGGCTGGACAATATTTTGAAGGGCAGTGCTCAGAAAATAACAGGCACCACTCTAGAGACCTTATTCACCCGGAGTCATTTCTTAATTCTCTCTCCCTCCTGGATGGGGACAGGCTGCCCCCTGCACTCAGAGTGCAGGCCAGGTACCAAAGCTGAGATGTACTTCCCTTTCACGCAAGGGACATTTCACACTGAGGAGAGCTCAGCTCAGGAACTTCTGGCCTCGGGGCACCTGGGAGAGGGAGCCGCTCAGGCTGTGCTGCCCAGGATCAGCCGGGGTAGTTCAGATGTGGAGCTTACTCAGCAGCCCTGTGGCCTTTCGGGGCCCCTCCCCCAGCCCCGGTTCCCAAAAAGCTTCTAGCTCAGCGGGAAGACAGGTGAGTGCAAGGAGATGGTTCAAACTCCAAGTGGGAGGGAAGTTGACCTTAGGGAAAAATGTCACTCCCGACACCTAAATTAAGAGTTTGACCATCGTCAAAAGGTGTACAGTGGATCTCATTATTGAACTAAGGCAAATGGCTTTGCTGTTTAATTCCAAGAACGCTTCCTCCCGGGCTCTCCTTGCTCGCACAGGGTAAGCTCGCGGGGAACCGAGGCTCCTGTGCTCATCCTCTAACCTGCACCCCACCCGGTCTGCAACAGCGCAGCGGGACAAGCACAGCTTGTGGGGTCAGCACTGCTTGATGGCCGCATGACTTTCGGCAAGGTTCTCAGCCCGTGTTTGTTTCTCCACCTGTAAAATGGGACTAAAATGGTACCTTTGTTAGTGCTCAAGAGGATTACTTTTACCCCTCTACGTAAGATGCTTGATTACAAGCCTGGCATTGGGTCAATGCATGAAATAACCACCAACATAACGACTAACCCTGGGCTAATCCTGTTCCCATTCCTCCAATTAACCCAAGGCTAAGGCTGGCCTGAAGTCGTCCAGCAAATGAGGAGGGGGCGGGGAAAGAGCTAGGAGCCCAGATCTCCCAAGGCCCTGCCATTCCCAAGCTTCTGGATACTCTGCCTTTCAAAGGCTAAGTGATGTTATTCCAGAAACTCCCCGAACTGTACTGACAAGTATTTACTGAAGGTCTACTATATGGCAGGCACTGCTCTAGACAGGGGATACAGCGGTATGACAGCCAGCCAAGGTCACTGCATCAGGGTGCTTATGTTATAGTTGGGAAAACTGGCAATAAATAACAATTTAAAATACATTTTTGGATAGCGCTATGGAGATGGATGGCGCATCGTATGACAGCACAGACCCTTGTTTTGTGTCCCTAAGATGCTGACAGCATCTAAGGCATGTGTGAGAAAAGCTTGGGTTCTGGTATCTGACAGACCTGGGTTGGAATTCGAGCTCCATGTGACCTTGGTCTGACCAATCATTCTGTGTGCACCTCTTCTCTCATCAGTAAAACGGGAACAGGGATCATTAAGGTTGCTGTGACAAGTGATAATACATGTAACATTTTCTCAGTGTTTAGTGTTTTTCACTTCCGACAAGTCAAGCTGGAACCCTTGATGGGGCCACGTGGGAACTGCAACCTCATAGTATGTGTTCTTTTTGTTTGTTGAGGAGGGGGTATGTGGGAATGGGGAGTTACCTGGAGAACTATTGAAAAGGATAAAAAAAAGTTCCTGGGAGAAGCAGCCCCTCCCCGCGTAATGAACTGATAACCTTCTTTCCTCTCGGTTACCCTCGGTGGAGAAACGTTCTTGGCCCACTGCCATCACTCAGGATTTAATGCAGTCTTAGAATTACAAGTTACCCTTTATAACCCAGTCATCTCCAAAATTGGGCATAGAAATAAAATATTAGAACTTCTATTTGTATTTATTTTTCATATAACCGCCTTTTAATATCTATTTTTGTGTCTTATGTTACACAATATATGGGTACAGTAGTACAGATTTATAATTTATAAACACAGGGGGGTATGCATGATCAAAAATTTCTGACGGGGGTGCAATCAGAAAAGTGAAAGGCCACGTGGAGGCTAAGGGAAGAAAATTATGGTCAGCCCTCATTGTACCTGCCCAACATAAACTAAGAAAGTGCATTATTTCCAGAAAGTAGCCTGCAGGCGCCACTAGGCTAATAAGCAACAGAGTGAAGGAATGGACCTAGTTCTTAGATCCCAAGTTAGTGTTCTCTCTGCTACAAATTTCTGGGCGAAAAAAAGTGGAAGTAGAAATTAAATACACACTGCAAGCTACGGAAAAAGCCAATTTTGGATGAGCCATTAAACAAACCAGATTAGCCTGAAAACTATGCACAAGACAGAAGACGATCTCCAGCAGTTCCAGAAGCACTCGGAGCAGAAGCCTCCTCCCCACAGCTTGCGCACGACCGCACTGGAGGCCAGCCGCTCATTCACTTCCCGTCACACCGTGTGGAGTCCGTTTTCCAGACCGACGTGTCCTCCTTCCTTTCCCCAGCGCACACGCACACCAGCACCGCGCACTCCAGCTCCTTTCAAACCATTCATTTCACCTCCAAGGTGACACCATGTGGAACCAAAAATGAAGCGGCAAAATGTTGAAAATAAAAATAAAGCGGACTTTATTTAGAAGATAAAGGTGGTGGTATCAGTTTTGGTTAATAAAGTTGGGCTCAAGTGTTTTAACAGGTCTTTAATGCCATCACAGACTGGCATGCCAAGGGCATTCTGAATGCCAATTACAGACTGAAGTTGTTTCGAAACCAAGATGCTATCAAAAGCTGATGGAGTTGAAATTTCTCTTAAAAGTCAGACGAACACACTTCTTAAATATCAGAGTGACTGGATTACTTGGTTCTGAAAGTGAAAACACTACACTGAGCAATCCCCCTCCCTTTCTCCACAAGTCCCTAAGGCAATATTACAGTTGCCTCTGACAGTCAAAATTTCAACATTTCAACGGAGGGGAGCAGAGGGGAACCGGGAAAATGAAAAGCGGAATCACGAAGTGTAATTGTAATCGATACAGGCAGCTGCCACCTGTGGGAGACCAAAGCCTAGTCCGATGCCCCTTTTCCTCTCATCTGCACTGACCTCTTCCCAAGCGGACGGTAACTACGTTCTTGAAGGAATGTGCCAAGACTAGGGTGGGGAAGGCCCAGTGAGTGGACAGAATGCATTTTGCATCCAGTTGCCTTGGGTGGTACAATTAAGGAACATACCCAGACTCTGGAAAGCCCACTAGCCAAAGGTAACTGGGAGAGAGGATTAAATGCATAACCAGTGTAGAATGCCTGCAAGGCACCAAGACCACAGTCCAACCAGCCCACTTTCCTCCTCCATCACTGAATGGATCTGGGAGAAAGTGTTAATAACAGCACTTGTCAACTGCTTCCCTGGAACAAAACATGACAAAACACACGGAAGGTTTTGTTTCCATTATGGTTCTTGGTGTACTTTATTCTCCTGCTGTCTAGCTAAGCAGCCCACACAGGACAGAAACGGGTAGCACTGAGGAATGATC